AAAGTACTACCAGATATGATGTCATAACTGTGGCATTTTTACAAGAATTGCCACAGGTGGTCATTTCTTAGAGTGTTTCCTGATTGCTCCAGTTCTTCTCTGCTAGAATTCTTGGGAGTATCTGAAAAATAAACCTATTACATTTGTAGAAGCAGGTAGACTTTCCATAGAATGCCATTCATATGTTTAGTTTATATAGCAAATTCATCCTGTAGTTGGTAATAAGTCTCTTCGTAATGACGTATTTGTACTTTTGTTGATTTATAGGAGCTCTTTACATATTATGGACATAGAGAAAATTTTGCCTGTTCAAAAGAATGAATGGCTTTGGGAGTTCATTGAAAGGATAGGATTAGATGACTAATATTTATCAGTTATTAGGGGTTTAAGAAGCCAAGCAGTTGCCAGAGTCCCTTTTGACTGATGGAGACCTAGGAGGAAAGGAGTCCAGTCTCCTAACTGGAAAGTTAGACCAGACCTTGAAGCCAGAGTTAGGATATACCCATTGAATACGAAACCTTTTTCTGGGTACTATGGGAGTTACAAAGGTGTGTCGTTATGAAAAATGGAAAGAAAGACACGTCTGTGATTCACCAAGAAAGGGAGCATTCTGTCACTTTTAGGCTGTTCTTCACGAAACATCCAAGGAGCTCTGGTGGCATAGTGCCTAAGGCATTTGACTGCTAACCAGAAGGTTGGTGGTTTAAACCCACCAGCCACGCCGCAGAGGGTAGACTGGGCAATCTACTTGTGTAAAGATTTACTGCCTCAGAAATCCAAAGGGTCCCGTCCCTGCCCCCCACTAAACATCCATGTTGCCAGATGTGACTGGGAATTTAGTAGTCTCAAGTTCATGTCTATTCAATGACATACTTTTATGACTTTTAAAGAGCAATCCTCTCCAGCCCCTCTGCTCTCCTCTCCTTCCTAGTATTGATGCTAGGTCACTGTCTCGCCTCTCTGTTGTGCTTTGGTGAAATGGTGAGATCGATGTCGCTGGAGAATCCTGGGTGTTTGGGAGACGGAAGCGGAGGAGCTGGGTCAAGGCCAGCAGGGAGGAAGGACGGGTCGGACGGGGAGATTTTTGTCAGCCTTCCTTTTATACATTTCCTCTTGCTGATATTTTTCTGTGCTACGACTTGACTTTTTATCTGAAGATGGATTTTCTTCAACTGCTGCTGTTCATGTTCTCTCCAGCCATTCAGTGATAGTCCCTAAAAATATTTAGTCTAATAATCAGAAGGGCTTTGATTAACTCTTTGATTAACAGGATGTGGATTCAGATGAGACAGTGGTTTTCTGCAAACGCTCCTTGGGC